AAAATTAGAAGTATCAAAAATTGGAACAGAAGGAGTAATAAGTCCTCCCAGGACTGAGCAGACTTGAACCTTTATTACTCCCCGTGTCCCATTTTGACAGTTCTAATTTTTCTTTCACACATTTTAAGACAAAGTAGTTAACTTTATTAAAAAAATAAATTTATGTTACTATTTTTTTAAAATACCCTTACATTAAATAGAGTACAATTTTATATTAATTATTCATGGAAACTTAAATTGATAGTTTATGGGAACTTGAATTGATGGTCAAGAAATAATCAATTCTCATTTTACATTATTTCACATTAAATTTAAATGTATTATATGGGATTAGTTAACAATATATATTAAATAAGGTAGTTTATACTAATAACAACCTACATTGAATAAGGATATTTTAGAGAAAATAAAAAATAATTACATTTTTCAATTGAAAAGTGGACTACAATTTGGGTCCCAAATAAAAAAAAATGACTATCAAAATGGGACGGATGGAGTATTATTTTTTGGGTTGCTTGCTTTGTTTGGATTGCATTTTTCTGAATTTTTTATAAAAAAATTATTATAACGATTTGATATATGTAAGAAAAAATAGGTGATTGAAAAATAGGTCTACAAAGAACGCAACAATTTTTCAATCCAAACACAGCTATCCGCAATAATGCTGATGTCATAACAGTACAGGAGGAGTTGAAAATGACATGGGCACGTAAATGCGAGGAATTTAATTCGAATATTCTCTTCAAGATATTTTAACGCCTAACTGACTAACTAACTAACTAGTTGGTTTTTCTAAATTTAGTCTGTTTGGATTGTAAGTTATTTGGGATTATTTGAGATATTTTTACTGTAGCACTTTTTGTGATGTGATGTATGTGAGATAAAAAGATATTGGGAAGATAAAAAGGTGTATTGGAAATTGTAAAGATGATGTAAGCAAATAAAATTGGAAAAATATGAAGCAATCCAAACAAACACAATTTAATAATACTACTTTAACTACTGCTTTGCATGGATAGAGTATTATTTTAAATAATTATTGTAATATTTTTTATAATATGATGTGATGTAGGTAAGATAAAAAGTTAATTAAAAATATAAAATAAAAGATTAAAAAATGTGTTTATTATCCTGAAAACTTATTTTTGAAAAAATTAGCAATCCATTCAAAGCCATAATACCCGGCAACTGGTCGCGCCACTGTCCGCGTCGCCACCGCACTGGAGCAAAAGTCAAACGACTCTTCTTCTCGTCGTAAGGTCAAGAAATGCTTTGAGATTAGATTACCACCGTCGGCCTCTAATTCCATCTTTCTTCAACTCCTACGTACGAGTGATTGAAAGTAAATTCCACGCGTCACGCAGGATTCCTTACAATCGCCTCTCCGGCTCTGGAAGTACACGACTTGGGGTATTTCCATTTCAGACGAGAGACGGGAAGGTCAAGCAGGGGAAATTAGTACCAATTTTATGTTAATTCTTTAGATACTTGATATCCTGCATATGTGATTTCTGTGCAGATTTATATATATATATATAAAAGAAAAAAAGAGAAAGAAAGAACAGACTAATATCAATAGATAATAAGTTAATTAAACTACTTGGTAAACCTCCGATCCAAAGCTCATCAACTTAGTAATGAAGCTTTAAGCATAATTCATCCTCCTTATCTTTGAAATACTCTCGCCTAATCATTTATTTAAAATTAAAATTGGGAAGTAGAAATACGTACTATCAAATTGGTGGGTTGGGCTCTAACCACCCGATATTGACCGTCAATCCGCAAAAAGCACCCGAAATGATTTTCTTTTTTTTTTTTTTCCCAAAATCACACAAGAACAGCTAGATTAGAAACACTCAGAGGTAATCAAAATCCTGGTGCAAAACACACCAATTGGTAATTGGATGTGCGGCCGAGGACCTTAAATTCAGGGTAACTACCCCACAATCTTTCGATGTGGGATGGATGACCAGACCCCCCCCCGAGCACAACCTCACCAAATATTTTTGGTTGTTCCAACAAGTCGAAATCACACAAAAACAGTTAGATTATAAATACTCAGAGGTAATCGAAATCTTGGTGCAAAGCACAATTTAAGGTGAAACCCACAAACCAATACCATCCAACCAATTAATAATTGAAGGTGCAGTCGAGCACCTTAAACCCAGGGTAACTACCCCACAATCTTTCGATGTGGGTGGATGAGCACCCGAAATGATTTTCATTGGAAGCCTATAACCATTTCGACTGCGTTGAAAGTTCCGAGTAACGGAAACACACGCAAATGCTTCCAAGTATAGAGCATGGACTCGGGGCAGGGACTCGGGGCAGGGACGGTTGCAGGTGCAACCGTCCCTGACAAATTTCCTCTTCATCAACAGCGCGTAACTTCTTTTGTTCACCGTGTAACTTTTTTTCCACAGGTTGTATTTTCACAACAGATAGTGGTGGGCCCCACACTTGGCGCGGAAATCGAGTTACCACTTGTTATCTGAGCCGCACATTTTTTTGAGGTCCAATCTGGACCATGAACCGTGCAGGGACGGTCATACTGATGACCGTCCCTGCCCCAAATCCATAGAGCATACATACTGCAGTAGTCTACAATAATTTGGTCGGAGTCAAGGTTCAACGTCTATAATATTTTCTTTCTTGTTTGGGTTAGAAAGATATTATCTATGCCCCCTCCCTTTTTTTTTTGTTTAATACTGACGCCACAGCAATTGTGGATTAAAAGGAATAGTCTGACAAACTAATTCCAACGGAGAGAAATCAAGGGCGATTCGTGATCAACCCTTAATATAAAAGAATCAAATTATAACCCAAATAAAATTCAACGAGAATCCATAATCTTCGGGCATGGGCACTCAGAGAACACGGCAAAGCCAGTTAATTTGATTTAAATATTCAACAAGAATCCAAATTTTAGAGCATCCCTATTTTAGTAGTTTATTTTATTAATTTTATAATAATAATAATAAACGGGTGATATGGAGAGAGTAGCATTAGTTGATTAGGAGGATCTTTGCCAAGTAAGCCTTTTATGATAGACGTAAGTGTATGCAAATGATGTGGAAAAAAAATAGAAAGGATTACCGCTAAGTTCTTATTTCAATTTAGTGGTCTCTATCATATGAGCTCCTTAGATTATGGGGCAGCAATTTTTTAAATGACCGACCATAAATCATCATCTTATAAAGAAAGGATACAAAATAGAGTATATAGGTGAGAAATATATCCCTTCTTGTTATTGACACAGTAATAAAAGGGATAATTTTAGAAACCTCCCCTGAGGTTTTTAATAATTTCACTTGACTTCTCTAAGGTTTCAAAAATTACACGTACCTCCCTTGTCCATTTAAAATGCCAATACTAACTTTAATATTTTTAATAAAACTCTTTTGTTGCCATGTTTATGCAATACTAACCTTAATATTGAGGATTTTATATTTTTTTACCATTTTCCTTCTTATTCATTTCTCTTATATTTCATTAGAAGTATAGAAGAATTATCAATGTTGTCCCTAATATCTATTCAAATTACATTAAACTAGTAATATTTTTTTGATGACTTTTAATATTCTCCACTTTTTTTGGTAGCTCTCTTTTTTTTGGTATCAAAATCAAGGGTAAGTCAACAATGATTAAAAACAAATGCCCCAAAATTACTACCAAATTATGATAGTTCCATCATTAAACTAGACCATAAATTTTCATTTAAAAAGAAGTCCATAAACTTTAAAAGAAACAAAATAGCACTCTTTATCTTAAAAATAATTTATATTCCCAGTAAAACACTATGAAAATACCCCATTATAGTAAAAGATTTATTGTTATAGTTGATTATTAAATAACAAATATTAGCATGAATACTTGATACTCTTTTTATTTAGAAAAACAAATTAAACTTTGTAAGATAAGAGCATTTTAGGGTATTTATTAAACTTTTTACTCTATTTTAAAGTTTGGTTACCAAAGTATCAAATCAAGGAAGATAATTGTAATTTTTAAAATATCAAAGGAACTAAGTGAAATAGTAAGAAACCTCAAGAGAGGTTTCAAATTCTCCCATAATAAAAGCCGCCCACAAACCATGGGCAAATGAACTCACAAAATCTTTAGGTATGTGATGACGTCATGGACAAAGTAAGGCGAACACACAGTTGACAAATATTACACGAAATTATGTGAATTTGGGGCCCACTCCAAGGAAATCGTGTAAATTCCTCTCACTCTTTGTTAGGCGATGTCGAGAGTCATATTGGCTTGTTTGGTTTTGCAAAGTTTGTTTTTTACAAGTTTTTTAAAAATTTTAACTATAGTAACCTCAAAAAACACTTCAAAGTTTTTAAACTATACACTTCAAAATATTTAAAAAAATACACATCACAAATTTTTTTTAAAACTTCTACAGTAAGTTACAATAAAATTTTAGATAAATTTTCAAAAAACTCACCTACAGTAAGCTACTCCTCCATCTCATTTATTTAGTCATATTTTAAAAATCTAATTTTTTTAAAGAATAATGTTTTGATTATAATATTTATACTTTTTTTTAAATTTCATTCCCTAAATTTAAAATTTTAATTTAAATAGTAACATGCATATGATTAGAAAGAAAAACTATATTGAAAAAAAAAATAATTTGACTTTTCGAACATAACAATTATTTTGAGATATTTCAAAATAAAAGGGACGACACTTCAATGGGACGGTGGGAACATTATATATTGTTGAGGCTGATAACAAGTTTTAGGATTTAATCAATCTTCCATGCTTTGAAACTTTTCGGAAATGACGTCCCCCAAAAAAAAATTTTTTTATTTCGGAAATAAGATAATAATTTAGGAGTGGAACAAAATATGCGAGCCAAGCCTGGCACGGTAGAAACAAAAAATAATCCGAGGAACGACCGTGGGGAGACAGATACATTGAACCTAGACACCTCGTTCCCCCATATTCCAGGGTTCAGGGTCCAGGCCTATAAATATTGCAACGCCTTCTGGGTTGTCAAGAAATTAAGAGCAAACGTTGGCAAATAATCAAACAAGTTCCCCCTTGTTTCTCTTGGCAAATACTTACTAATTACTAGCATAGTTTGGAAGCACTCTCTCTTTTCTTTCTTCAATTTGTTTGTCTTCTTGAGATTAGACAAAAATGGCTCCAACCATGGTGGTGCCGGCCTTCGCCCGCACAAAGCAGCCTGAACACGTTGTAGAGCGGGAGGACGGGGAGATTTTGAAGAAGAGAAATGAGGAGTTGGAGAAAGAACTCCAGAAAGCCATGGAAAGGGAGAAAAGGATGAGGGAGGAATTGCAGAGAACGTGGGAAAGGCTGAGGGTGGCGGAGGAGGCGGAGGAGCGGCTCTGCTCCCAACTGGGTGAACTGGAGGCGGAGGCTGTGGGCCAGGCGCGCTCCTACAGAGCCAGCATGATGGCTTTGATGGATCAGCTTTCTGCGGCCCAGAAGCTTCTCCAGGGGGCTGTCCCTGTAGCCCCAACTCCTCAAGTACTATAACCTTGTTTTGTGTTGGGGGGCTTTTTTTTTTTTTTTTTTTATAATTATTTCCCCATCCTCTTTGCGTTTGCGACAGGATTTACTAGCAGTGTTAATTAGTGAATGTGAATGTTGTAGCATATGAAATGTGAGTAGTTTTTATAGTGGATCGCCGCCTACTTGTTCGGCTGCAGGGCATGTGATTTGGATGCTTTTTTGTTGATTAAGGTGTGTTCTTTTGGATCCATGAATCGGAGATGGGCTGGCTTGGTTTGATGTGTTGCTGTTTTTGGTTATGTCTGCCATGTACTCCTAGTGTTTTACGTTGTGATGAATGGACGCAACCCCCTCTCCTCTCCTGGGTGTTGAAAGCTTAAAATGAAGGATGGGACGGGCACGATTGCAAACACCGGCACTAATATCAGCTGCAGTATTATTTACTTTTTGTATCAAATTATATTTTTCTTAAATACAAGGGGCAGCAAGCAAGCAAGAACATGCATGCTGCGATATTTATTTATCACCATATATTAATGTAGCAAAGATGTCACTCACGCACGCTCGCATGGGGATTTTGTACAACCTGGAGTTTGGTGTTATGTGAGTCTCCTGTCCTTCTAAGGTCTCAGTGGATGATTTCCATATTTATCTTGTAAATGTAGAGTTGATAGGTTCCGGTCCTTCAAGGGCACCACTTTTTTCCACCTCCACCGGTAGCTCTTCTCTTTGACATTTTCATCCACCTCCACAGCTTACCAGCTTTTGCCGCGGGGTTCCAGGACCGGATCCAAAAAAGTCTAAAACTAACAACATCATCCTCTTTCTCCATGCGTACTCCACACGCTTACCCACACCCACAAGTAAGATGCTATAATACGAGTCGAGTCATTGTCGCGTAAAACTTCACATCCAATCAAAGGTCAAAGAACTCGAAACAACTCCTGACGGGATTTCCCACTTAATTAAGTGTGGCTGTCACTTAACCGTGACTTCCTCTGGCCACTTAATTGCGGAAAAATCTCATCCCATCGGCTCTCCCTCCTTCGCATTAAATGCATTAAATTAAAGTAGAGTAAATTATACAAATGTTATCGTTATGATCGAAAAAAAAAAATCAAATGTCAAAAGGCTCGAAACAACTCCTCCGTTCAGCAATATTCGAAGGGGAACAAAAAAACCTATATATGATCCTAATTCGCAAGGGAACAAAAATAGAGCGTCCGCACATGGAGAGAGAGAGACAGAAGAGAGTCAAAAAAATCATCTAGATGCCAACCAAATCGAGCTAACCGTTCTGGACCGGCCGAACGCATCCCACCTATTTTACTGAAAGATGGTCTGCCCGACATTTTCTGTTACGTCCAACATTAGATCTGGAATTCCAAACGAGAAACGCACAATGAAATGGTAAAAGGTATAGTTCTACTTAAAAAGGAAAAGTACGCACAACTTTTAGTTCAGAATTCATAGGTCTCGCCGTTTACTTTCATTAGTAATTGATAGCAATCTACAAATTTCAAACCCTATGGGGGGGGGGGGGGATGCCGAACCATGATCTTCAACTGATTCCCGGGATCCCATTTATCATCATCGTTGTTAGAGACCCAGAATGGAATCAAATCAAAACCCTTGAGGCATCAAAAAAGCATATCACCACAATCACAATTTTAAACTTGAAACTTATCTAGCCATCCAAAAGTATTTATCAGCTAATTTTAGTTCAGGAACAGTGATAATTTGAGATAGCACTAGGCCAAAACCACCATTCTCTCTTTTACATATAAATAAATAAAGGTGGGACTAACAGTGAATCAAAGGATGCATGTTTCGCTGAGCATTTATCTCACCAGACCAGCTTCATTTCCAGCTCGCTCGCTTCTCTCTTATCTCTGGATCCCTACATATAAGGAAATTAACTCAGATTTTTCATGCAGTGGAGTTTGCACAGTACAGGCTTACTCTCTTTGAATAGACCATGGTAAAAACCTGTGTATGTGATCGAGAATCAGAAGCCTTGGTCCAGGGGGAATTCGAACATCCCTAAGAGCACTAAAGAAACAATGGCGAATTAAAACTAAAAAACGAAAAACATCAGCTCAAGTTCAGAAAAAAAGATTTACCATCATGAAAGCATGCATATCAGTACTTGCCTATCAGTGAGCAATGGCAAAGTGCTGTCATTTAACAACCCTTTCTTGAAATTCTTCTCATAGTTTTGCAAACCAAGGTTTGACAACATGGACCTCGTCTTGACATAGCACACATCTTCAGCTGGTGGAGCTGAAAACTTTTGTCCTAGCTGTATGAACAGGTGAGAGGTAAAAATCATTCTTAAGGTCACTGAAAGTGATTCACATTAACTCCATGCCCAAAGGGCCAAAAAAAAGGAAGTGTGAGAAAGATAAAAGATAGGATTGCTCAGTAAGCACTCCAAAAGACTAAATATCACTTCAGAAATATCGAAGCCCTACAAGAGTAGGAACAGTACTCCAAAATTAGTAAGGTCTTATTAGGTATTAATAGGAAGAGAAAACCCTGAACTTATAAGCTAAAACATTAATATCCTTTAACTCATAATTTAGAGGTCTCAACACCCAAAGTGGATGTTCTATAAATTGATCTTGAATGAAGTTGTACAGCAGCATGTTCAAAGGAGCAAATTACTTGATCTTCTATATTATTTTACCTTGAAGAGTCCACCTTGGATAAGCGCAAAAAAGAGACCTGATGTAACGGCATTGGCTGCTTGATTCGTCCCACCCATTCCACTTACTAACGAGAACATGGCACCAGATCCGAAAGCAGCCACCATACTGCAACATAAAAAATAATATCATTCAACATATCATGGAAGGGAAATCTGCTACCAAGGAAAATGAGGAGGATAAAAACAGGGAAAGGTGGATAGCATGGTAACAGAATGGTGTCAATCAAAAGGGATTTCAAGTCCAGGTGGAAGTTTCCCCAGAGCATAAGGGTCTTCCATGATCATGTGATCATGTCCCAATCTATTCCACTAATCAGCTTAACATACCAGGAACAAGGCAGGAGAGGGGTAGAAGTCAGACAATTCTGATTTCTTCACAGCAATGTATTAAAATAGGACAAATGTCATCAAGAATCTCCTAAATGGTCTCCCATGCCCAAAAAGGTTTTACTAGAGGACATAAAAGTCATCAACTGGCACTATATTGTTAATGCACATATTAGTGAATTGACTGGGTGCTTGAATTCTGACACAACACATACTTATGCACAGATAATGTCCAAAAAAGAAAAAAGAGTAAAAGAGACACGGAAAGCATGAGAAGAGCTGGCTCTCCTTTGATGACAAAAAAGCCCAATCTTTTTAAGCAATCCATCATTGTTTTGTAATAACTAATGGAGTAACAATTCACCAGGTTTATGGAATCCAAATAGATTATCATCGAGAGTAATCTTGTAAAGATGGATAGAACAGAGCAAAGTTACCAACAGGCGCAACTGATTGCTCTACCAACTGCACTACTTTCATCCAATTAATTTTCCACCAAAAGCCATATTTTACGCCCAAATAATTCCACTTATGACGCCAAATTCAATAAAGGGATAAACCTAATCATTCTGGTACACTACGGGACGCATCCATGCCTGATTGCAGCATAGACCGAATCTCAGACACAGAGTTAACATAGCAAACATGCATGCATTCAGAAGTCAGAAGCAAAAGAAAAGGGGGAAAAAGATTGGTGCTCTAGCAGCAGATATCACGAGTAGAAATAACAAGTAGATACATCATAATGTAGAATTGTCTGTTTCCCATTTTAACCGAATCGATTTCTATTGCTCCTTTATCATGTTTCTCACAGGCATAAAGTTATAAGACATAAAGCCTGAGTTAAGCACGATAAGTTATGAGCCCCTCTAGCTTGGATGAAGTTCCAAGGATCCTTTCAATAATTATAGTTACTGGAAATTACCTGGACTCAACATCTTCCTTCCCTCTCAATCTTTTCATGACACAGGAAATGCCAGCATTAACCCCTGTCATTACAGCAAAGTTGCGGGCTTGTATCAATGGACCACCTGAAAGAGCCTGTGAGCAAACCCCAGAGTTAGGTGTGCGACCCATAAACAGATGTTTCAGGCATTTTCAATACTTCAAAAATTCTATCTTTAATCACTTGCTTTTCCTGGGTTTGGGATTTTGAAGTTGCAAACCTATGCCAACATACTTTCAGTTGCCTAAGCTGGAAAACACCTATAATTGATTTGGCTCCTAGAAGCCATTCCACGAGGATTTTTGAATGAATCAGAGCAAGCACCAGTTACTACTACAGGCCAATTATGCTTATAGGATATATGAATTCCAAATATGCAGCTTTCGTTCCTTCAGAAAGTCATTGAAAGAATACCATCTTTTTTCCACTATCTTCATTTAGTCCAACGCAAAACCAGCTTACTCGTCAAAAAAAAAAAAGCAAACTCCTATTGATTGAACAATCAACATTTTAAACAGCATAATTAGAGACACATGTGGAAATGATTTCTCCTGATAAGCAATCACAGGTACAAAACTTTGATTTCCATTAGCACGCAACTTCAAAACAGAAGAAGAGGTTGGAGAGAGGGGGGGAGATTAAAAAAAAGAGAGTTTCATCAGCAAAAAAATGAACTCCCCACAAATAAAAAACCGACTTGTACAGAGCCAGCAATAATGAATCCAAAAGAATCAGTGGGAAAACAGTAAAATCAGAAAACTTGGAAACTGTACCTGGGCTTGCTTGAAGGAGGCCATGGCCTGAGGATTGAGATTGGGGGCCCCCGGTGGAGGGTTTGGAATTGAGGAAGAGATGTCATTGGTGAGGGTACCCATTAATGCTCCGAGAGCAGCGCCCTGGGTGGCGCCTGTGGCGGTGACGACGGCAGCTTCCACAGGCAAAGTCTGCTTGGAGAGCCAAGTTTTGAAGCGAGCTTCCAGATCCTTAAACTTGGCCTGCAATTGTTCTATGGGGTTACCCCCTACTAACCCCTTTGCTGTCATATTAGACATTTCAACCACAATCACACCCTGTTTTCCCTCACCCATAAAATAAATAATAATTGATCCGGTTGATGCAAGCAATTGCTTAAGTTTTCTACAACTTCTCTCTCTGTTCTTGTAATCTCGCTGTGCCGGGTGCTTGCGACGTTCAAAAGGGGAGGAGAAAGGGGTGCCCAGCCCAGGAGCGGATGGATAGTACCGTTTTCCTCCACTCCTCCTAAATAGTTCAAAGCCTAAAAAACTAGTCGAAAACCCCTTATCTGTCTAACCTACTTGCTCTCGCCTGCAGCTTTTACGATGGGACAAAAACTCCCACGGGCAGGCTTTCTAGACAAATTTTTCATGATTCCAACGGAACCCCGCAGTTGTTTCATATTTCCCTCCAGACCCTTCAAAAATTTTTTTTACATGTTTCACTCAAGGTTGACGACAGTTTTTTAATTTTGCAGGGGCTGCGTTTAATATACTACTATTTCCTCCTATTTACGTTCGTTTGAATTAACTGTTTTTAAAATATTTTACTGTAACAATATATATGAAAAATTTTTATTATATATATTTTTTGTGATGTTTTTAAAGGGATTTTTGAAATATATTTTAGAGTATCTTTTAAAATTTTAAAATTTTAAAATACTTTTTAAAAATTAACACTGCCACTCACAATCTCTTCCTTTTTCTACTTCCTACCACACCCCACCCTCTCTCTTCTCCTCCCACCCGATCTGGCCTCGACCAGATTGCAACGAGAGAGAGGGAAAAGGAAAGACAAGGGGTGGTGGGGAAGGGAAAGGGAGGATGAAGGAGAGGGAGAAGGAAGATGAGGAGGAGGAGAAAAGAAGAGGAATGGAATGGATGGCGGTGATAGGTGGAAGATATTATAAAAAATATATAATTTTAAAATTTTTATATATATTTGTGAGTTATTTTTTATATATTGTATGGATAAGGTATTTTTTGAATTATTTTTATATGTATTGAAAAATTACTTTTTGAAAAATAGCTCAATCCAAATGCAATTATTTATTCTTATTTTAAAATCCAACTTTTTAAGAATATTTGTTTGATTGTGATGTTTTGTATTTTTCTTTTCAATTTTATCTCCATGAATTCAAATTTTGAATTTGAATGGTAATATGCATATAATTAGAATGAGGGGTTATATTGAAAATATATACTAAAATGTGCTTTGACTTTTTCAATTGGACAAATATTTTGAAATTTTAAAATAGAAAGTATGACGCTTTCAATTGAATGAAGGAGAATACTATGTTAATTGGGAGAAACGATGGGTGGAGTGATTCGGACTAGCAATGGGTTGGATGAAAGATTCCAAATTTAGAGTCTCCCACTTACCCTTGAGAAAAGAAGTAAAGAAAAAGTATTAATACTATATTAAATGCAACATTTTTTTTAAGGATAAAACAGAGAAATATTTCTCTATCAATACTAAAGTGTTCGTTACAACTCTATATAATGTAAATGATAAAATGCTACATGCAATTAATTATCTTACAGTATCAACTAAAATAAAGACAAGCTTCCAAAATTAGAGGTCTTGATTCAATTTTCCTTCTCCTCTCTGCTTCTTTAATTCAATCTCTCTCTAATTTAAAAACAAATAATATTAATAATAACAAAGAAAAGATGAATAAGGAATCAATATGCATGTCTAAGTGTGTTTACTCCACGCAATAAATCTTTACATGGATTAAGAAGTAATCGAAAGTACCTTTTACACAATCATATTTGTTGAATACAAATTATGCATCACGTATTTAAAAACACTAACGTGAAAAAAGCTTCAGGTCATGTTTGGATTGTATTTTTTTTATTTTTTTTTTGTAAAAAAAAATTTTGTAACGATTTGATATATGTGAAATAAAAAGGAGATTGAAACATGTATTAAAAAAAATATAGTAATTTTCACAAAAAATTGCTTTCCAAACAAGGTCTTACATTAAGAGTATAATAAAGGAAAAATCGTTCAAAACGTCCCTCACATTTTACAAGATGACTTTTTTCGTCCATCACTTTTAAAAGTATAATTTTACGTCCCTTACAAATTCACATTGACCAAATTTGGTCTCTACCTAGGTTTCCGACTAGTTTTTGCCGGAATCCACCACGTGACTTGCATGTGATCATTTTTTAAGGATAAAATTGTCAAATCAAATTTTTACATAATCTGATTCATAGTCCCTCACATTTCACAAAATAAATTTTTTCGTCCCTAACATTTTACAAAATGAGTTGCTTCGTTCCTCACATTTCAAAAAATGAATTTTTCCATCCCTCATATTTTTTAAAATGAATTTTTTCATCCCTCATTGATCATGTATACAAATAGCTTTTTTTCTATAAGCTCACGTATATATCTATTTGATTTTACCTGAACAGTATGAATAACATGTAATTTATCTCTATTAAATTTCATCTAAACATGCTAATCGTAGTTATTCACATGCTATTCAATAGATATATATATACGGGTTTTAAACTAATAATTTTGTTTGAAATCCATGTATATATTTATATGATTTCACCATTTGAACCTATTCAATATTTGTGACATTTTTCTTTTGGTAATAATTTATTTATTGAGTTGTATAATAAGGTCATCTAATTAATGGGTCATAACTCGAATTATATAATTGTACTAACAAATTTCAGTTTAAATCTGAAATTTCTACTCAATATTTTTAAGACCAACAGTTGAATTATTTGCCTTGTGATTGTGTTAAAATTTGAAAGTGTCAATTACTTATTTCTTTTTGTCATACTTTTATTTTGTTTACTTTTTCTATCTAAATTTAATTCGATATAAACACTCGATATTATTTATGATTAAATGTCTTCTTTATTTCCAAATTTCGAGTGAAAGAAAATGAATATAAGTGAAAAACTAACAATTTTTTTAAACTCATGTATATATCTATTTGATTTCACTTGAACAATACGAATAGTGTGTAATATATCTCTATTTGATTTCACATGCTATTCGTACTGTTTAGGTGAAATCAAATAAATATATACATGAATTTAAAAAAAATTATTCACACACGTGATCAATAAAAGATGAAAAAATTCATTTTGAAAAATGTGAAGGACGAAAAATTTTATTTGATGAAATGTGAGGGATTATGAATCGAATTATATAAAATTTGATTTGACAAATTTTCCCTTAAAATATGATCACGTGCAAAGCATGTGGTGAATTCTGATAAAAAATAATCGGAAACCTAAGTAGGGACCAAATTTGACCAATGTGAATTTGTAAGGGACGTAAAATTATATTTTTAAAAATAAGAGACGAAAAAAGTTATTTTACAAAATGTGATGGACGTTTTAAACGATTTTTCCTATAATAAACATGACTCACCATACGTTAAAATCTAACCAAAACCATGTCTGAAAAATAAAAACTGGGGCAACAAGGCATGCAACTATGGCTCCGTTTGGAACCTGAGTTTTTTGAAGTTTGTCTAAAATTTTACTGTAGATTACTGTAGAAGTTGTAAAAAAACTTGTAAGATAATTTTTTTTCTTTTCATTTTTTTTTCTTTTTTCTTTTCTTTCCTCCCTTCCCCTTCCCCTTCCCTCCCCTATTCCCTCTCCTGGAAAAATTTGGACCTTGAAGGTAGCAGTGGGGTTGCCGATGGGGTCAAGTGGCAAATTGGGCTGAATGTCATCGGAACAAATTTTGGACCAAAGGGAATCGTCGTCCGAAGCCCACTTTGTAAAACTGTCGTCTCACGCACGCCACTGATGCGGCGTCGTTTGGTGCCAATTTGGAGAGGATTACGTGCATCGCTAATCCCCCAACACTTTCCAAGCTTCGTTTTTTCCAATTATATAGCAATAGCAGGTTACGAACCCACTACTTATCCATTCGGGGCAAAAAGCAGGTGTCAAAAGAAGCCAAAAAAAAGCTGCGAAAATCTGGTTGAATGAGGGTCCTACCCTACGCCTGCAACAACAACAAGAATCACCTGAGCCAATTAGCTATTGCCGCCATTTTATTTTTGCTCATTTTCTTTTTTTTTCCAGATCGACCTGAGAGAAAAGGGAAGGGTGGTGGGGGAGGAGTGGGAAAGGGGGAGAGGGAGAGGGAGAAGAGGAGTGGCGGGCAGGAGATGGGGAGGGAAAAAATGCAAAAAAAAAAAAAAAAAATTCTTTTGCTACTTCATTGGCAGTTTCGCCCCAAGGGAAATAGGGGGAATGGGAAGGGTGGTAGGGGAGAGGGAGAGGGAGAAAAAACAAAGGGAAGGAACAAATCGGGCAAAGGGGGATGATGGCGGGGGAGGAAGAGGGGGAGAGGGAGAAAGGAAAAAAAAAAAAAAAGACCCACCGGAAGAAATGATCGGCGCCGGAAACGACACCGAAGGTGGTAGCCGGCGACAGAGGTGGTGGGTTGGGGTGGGGGAGGAAGAAGAAGAAAAGGGAAAGGAAATTTTTTTTTTTTGTGTTTTGGGTATTTTGAAGTGTGTAAATAAAAAACATTGAGAAATTTTTTTAGGTTACTGTAGTTAAAGTTGTTATAAAACTAGTATAAGACAAACTTGAGTAAAAACTCAAGTTCCAAACAGACCCTATGTTTCGATAGCTCAATTTTGTTAAATAATATTTTACTTGTATCATAAATATATTTTTTAATTCGTTTCTTTATATTTTCAATTATATTATATCACAAAAGTGCTATAATAATTATTTTAAAAATATTTCAAATAATACTTATCTAAATACTTTAATGCAAAAAATGCAACAAGTGTATGACGTGGACTACATAGCCTTTCAAAATGAATGTGCAATAAAAATTTTACAAAGCTAATCAGTACAATTAAAATCATGGCTCGAGGGTTTGTTTGGATAGGGTATTATTTGAAATATTATTTGGAATAATTACTGTAGCACTTTTTGTGATGTTATGTATGTGAGATAAAAAGGTAATTAGGAAGATAAAAAGTTGTATTGGAAATTGTAATGGTGATATTAGCAAATATATTTGGCCAAATAATCTACTGTCCAAACAAATCTCTATTAACTTTCCAAACGAGGGGAAACTAAGGGCCTGTTTGGAACCTGAGTTTTTTGAGAGTTTGTCTAAAATTTTACTGTAGTGCACTGTAGAAGTTTTTGAAAAAATTTTGTAGAAGTTTTTGTAAGGTGAAAAACTTTTTTGTAGAAGTTTTTTGAATGTGAAAAATTTTGTAAGGTGAAAAACTTTTTTTTCCTTTTCTTTTTATCTTTTTCTTTCTTTTTTCTCTTTCTCTTTCTTTTTCTTTTTCTTTCTTTCCTTTTTATTTTCTTTCCTCTCCTCTTCTTCTTCTTCTTCCTTCCCCCTCCTCTTCCCCGTTACCTCTCCTCTGTCTCCCACCTCCAGCACCTCCGCCAGCATCACCTCTGTTCTTTTTTTTTTTGCTTTTCTCCTCTCCCCCTCTCCCTCTCCCTCCCCCGCCACCCCCAAACTTTTCCACAATTCCTTTCCTCTCTCCTCTGCCCGCCACCCCTCTCTTTCCCTCTCCCACCACCCCTCTGCCCACTCTCCCCCTTTCCTCTCCCCTCCTCCTCGCACTCCGACGCCCGAGGAAGACAGGCAGCTGTGCATAATTTTTTTTTCTTTTTTGCTTTTTCTCTCCCTCCCTCCCTCCCCTCCTCTCTTCCCCTCTCCCTCCTCCGCCACCCTCCCCCTCTCTGCTCTGCGATCTGGGATCAGGCCGCAAAAGGGGAGGGGGAGGGGGAGGGGAAGGGGGAGGGTGGCGGGGGAGGGAGAGGGGGTGAGGGTGAGGGATTCAAAATTTTTTTTTGAGGTTATCGGCACCAGAATAGGTGACCGGCTCCGAGAGAGGTGGTGGCTGGTGTGGTGGGTTGGGTGAGGGAGGAAGAAAAGTTTTTGGGAAATTTTTTGTGTATAGATTTTTGAAGTGTGTAGGTAAAAAATTTTGGAAAGTTTTTTGGGGTTTCTGTAGCAAAAGTTGTTAAAAAATTAATAGCTAAAAAACGGGGCCTGTTTGGAACCTGAGTTTTTTGGGAGTTTGTCTAAAACTTTACTGTAGTGCACTGTAGAATTTTTTGAAAAAATTTTGTAGAAGTTTTTGTAAGGTGAAAATTTTTTTTGTAGAAGTTTTTGTAGAGTGAAAAACTTTTTTTTTTCTTTTCTTTTTTTCTTTCTTTTTCTCTTTCTCTTTCTTTTTCTTTTTCTTTCTTTCCTTTTTCTTTTTTTTTTCCTCTCTTCTTCTTCTTCTTCCTTTTTCTTCTTCTTCTTTCTTTCTTTCCTTCCTCCCCGTTACCTCCCAGCAGCACTCACGCCCACCCCTCTCCTCCATTTTCCCTTCTCCTCCCTCCACCTCACGCCACCCCCTGTGCCCCTTCCCCCTCTGCCACCACGATGCCCTCCCCCTCGCCACCCCCTCTGCCGCGCACCCCCTACCTTTTCCCCAGCTTCTCCGGCCACCCCCGCCCTTTCCCCAGCTTCTCCGCCACCCTCCCCCCGCGCACCCCCTGCTTTTCCCCAGCTTTTCCCGCCACTCCCCCTCCCTCCGCCACCCCTGCCCTTTCCTCTGCCAGAGCGACCTCCTCCCCCCGCGCCCCCTACCTTTTCCCCAGCTTCTCCGGCCATCCCCCGCCCTTTCCCCAGCTTCTCCCGCCACTCCCCCTCCCCCCGCCACCCCCCTGCTTCTCCTGCCATCTCCTGCCCTTTCCCCAGCTTCTCCCGTCACCTCCCCTACGTGACCTCCTCCCCTACCACCCCCCTGCCCTTTCCCCAGCGCAACCCCCTCCCCCCGTCACCGTGCGGACGGCGCTGAAATAGTCCAGCGGTTCCGGCAAAAAGCATCGAGGAATTTGGAGAATTGGCAATGCTTTGTCGTGGAGGATTTGCTTTTCTACATCCAGTTGAATAAGGAAACCATCACGTTGAATTTGATGTCCAATTCCTCCATTCTGCACTTTTTTTGCCCTTTTTTTTGGCTTTTTTGGGCTATGATTTTGCTTGTTCGGTTCTTGGGCTTTTATGTTCATTTTTTGTGTTTGAAAATGAAGGATTTAAAAACTGCCAGAAAGCGGAAGGGGGAAGAGGGCGGGGGAGGGAGAGGAAAAAAAATTGTGTATGGCCGGAACTGACCGCCGGAATAGTAACCGGCGCCGGAAGTGATGGTGGAGGTGGTGGCTGGCGGCGGACGATGTGGTGGGTTGGGTGGTGGAGGAAAAAGAAGAAAAGTTGAATGGAAAGTTTTTTGTGTATTTTTGAAGTGTGTAGGTAAAAAGTTTTGAGAAGTTTTTTGGGGTTCCTGTAGCAAAAGTTGTTAAAAAACTAGTAGGTAAAAAACTGGGTCAAAAAACCCACTTCCAAACAGGCTCTTGGTAAAAAATTAGGGTGCCAAACAGGCCCCAAAATATGGAATAGTGTTTGAAATTTCATTTTCCAAAAAGCTAATTAGTCTTTTAAGATCGGTTTTGTTTGATAGGAAAACAGTTGTAATTGGCGAGGCGGGAGGGTTAAATTTGTAAAAGTTGGAGGGAAAAACCTCACTCCGCAGCCGCCCAAGAGGCGGCCATGTCCGGGATCTCTTTCTCACACAAACCTCAACATTGATTAGGGTTTTAGAATACACTTGTGGTCTTGCTGTATTATTGTTGCTGTTAGGGCAAATCTGAACATGAGTAGCAGTAGAAGCTCCAGGGAAGATTCTCCAGACTGGCTCCGTTCTTTTCAGGTACGTAACGGCTTCTGTTTTCTCTCTCGAATTCTTTTAATTACCCTTTTTTTTTTCCCTTATGGAAATATTGGATTTGTTGAAACGAGCTCTGACCCAAGGAGCAGAAATAGTTGGTTAGCCTCTATCCTTCTTGCACCTTCATCAATTTTTTTAGGTCATCCGTCATTGCAATCAAATTTAATTTACGAGTTTCTATTTCGTTATTTTGAGTCAAAAGTATGTTAAATGCCTGGATAGTTGAACTAGCCCCAAGTCAATTATAGGGTTCAAATTTCATATATCAGTTGCTTCTGAAACATGTTGCCATTAGTTTAATTTTGAGCAATAAAAAAGAAGAAGAAATAAATAAAGAAATCAGGCTGTGTGGCTTCTGTGTTTATCGCGCCACGCTAATGACATTGAGAACTTAATTTGTTGAATTAGGCACCAACTCAGTCGGCTCTGACCATATCATCGGGGTCTGTGTCCCCTCTAAGTGATGATGAGGATGAAGTCGACCTCAACAAGTTGTTTCAGAAAGAAAGGTCAGATGGTCAGGTTGCAGGACATTCTCAAGCTGATCAGAAGACTTTAAAAACCAGTGCTCCAGGTAAAAACCAGAAAGCTGAGCTGCAAACACCACGGAGGAAGAGAAAAAAAGAAAGGGAAGATCATTGTGCAAGAGGAGGAGGTGGTCCTTCTATCACGTTGATTTTCTTTCTTTAATTGCTCAACACTGAAAGTTTTATTCTTCAAAACCTAAGAGAAGGGGATTGCTCAGACTCTCTCTAATGTTGGCGATATTACAGAAAGAAGGGCAGAAAAGCGAGCAGCTGAAACAAGAGTATCAGAAATGCCTATTGCACCTAGTGTAAGAATTTTTCTCTAAAACTAGATTCATCCATTATAGTGCTCCATGTAATCTTTGATTCGTTATTTGTTATGCCTGTGCTTTCACTGGGTTTATTTGATTCTTACATGATTAGCATTCGATTTTACTGATGCATTGCTATCTGAGCATCTGTGAATGGGCTGTTTATAGGCTATCTGGAGATTTAGACATTTTAAAGGTTTTGATATCTTTAATTTCGACAATTGTGATGTCTTGTTCCTGAGTTAGTAAAGGAAAATCTATTTTAGGCGACTTCCTATCTTCTTCGTCTTTATGATCATTACATTGGAGATTGTCATTGATTGAACAGGAACCAAATGATTCAGTTTGGACATTGTCTTCAGATTCTGATTCTTTGCCTGACTCCAAGCCTGTAAGTAGAGATGTTCTCTTTGATAAGAAGATTGATGGGAGTGATAAAACTGAATACAAACAAAAGGAAATATTTGAGGTTGCAATTCCTTGTGATGATGGAGAATCTTCATCACAGGATGCTTTAATTACAAAAACACTAAACAAGAAGCTGAAATGCGAAGGTGATAAACCTTCTACACCAGAAAAAGTACATTTGCTCAAGAACAGAGGTAAGGAAAATGTGTTCTGGTTCTTATGTTTTCTCGTCGTTTAATATCTTTGTGAGTCAAGGATGTTGGGCAAGCAACTTTAATAAGAATGCTCCTCCTACCGTAAATGTACATCTTTGTTCATATATGTTGCCCAAAATTTACATTTTTATGATCTGGTTGTTACAGAAACTGTTGGAGACCTGGACATTGAGGAAAATTTGTCTGAGAAGTGTAGTGGGCTTCATGTGAGAAACTTGGGTTCTTATTAAATTATTTATTATGCTGAGTTAGTGAATTATTGTTGGAAATTACATCTGCAGGCCTCCTCCAGGTTGCCTTTGGTGCTCACCGAGAAAGTACAACACTCAAAGGTTAGCCAGCATAATGTCTACATTTACGAATGCAGTGTCACTTGGTGTTTTTTATTTTTCATCTTAGAGATTATTTGTGGATTTCAATTTACATGAGTAGTGAAAATTATGCCCCTGTATGTGCTGCACTCCTTTTTTCTCCTCTTTCAACAATGAAGAAACTTTTTGGCTGTGATGAAGAACATTTGAAGAGCCAGACTGCATGAGTCCTGTCTGTCAAGCAAAGATGTGACGACTGAAAGTTGCTTTGTACTCTTTTTTTTTTTTTTTGAAGGGGGGGGGGGGGGGGGGGGGAATTCTGCCCATGCATTGTGGTTATTGTCACTGTCATTTTTTTGGAGTAAGTCTGGTACCAGTAGTTTGCTTATTTATGGTTATTGACACCTTTTAAGTTGTTAATTTTGACCACAGGCATTAGTTCTATAGGCCTAAACTTGTGATGGTTTATCTACAGCTGTTAAATTTATTCTAATTTCTTGGCAGGCACTTGTGGAGTGTGAAGGTGATTCAATTGATTTAAGTGGTGATGTGGGTGCTGTTGGCCGTGTGGTTATCTCAGATGACTCATCTGGAAATCATGAGATATTATTGGATTTGAAAGGCATGTATAGTTCTCTATTTTCCATTAGTCATGAAATTTGAATTAGTGACCTTTTGAGTTATCTATTGTATTTTTAGTTTTATTCGCAGCCTATATGTACTTAATACATTTTGAACTTTTTATTCTAATATTATTTCATTTCTTCTGGTGCTACTTTACCAGCTTTGTCCTAAAGGTTCTATAGGCTCCTTTGCTCATTTGATTTCTTCATTTTGATGCATCTGTTTTTTAGGAACCATATACAGAACAAATATCCTTCCTTCCAGAACATTTTGTGTGGTAAATGTTTTTTGTCCAAACCTCTCTCTCTCTGTCTCTCTCTCTCTCACACACACACACACATACATAAATGGGAGGAATAAAACTAAATAAAACTCCGGAATTTTCAGGTCAGCTTTGGTCAATCAGAAGCCAAGGTAAGTCCATTTTATACTTCTGTCTTTTCTTCTCGTTTTACATTTACTCATTCATGTACCATGCCCTCACCTAACCGCTACCCAGAAACAACATATTAATAAGACAGCATGGACATGCTAGAGAACACGTTAAATGAAGTAGCAAGATACTCTATCTAGTTGTGCACAGTACTCTTTATCCTCGATTTTTTTTTTTCTGGCATCTCGTTAGATTTACTCGTGTGAAGCACTTGGAATGAGATGTTTTTGGTTCAGATAAACTGATAACTTGTTTTCGCACCTTTTCTTGTTTAGATAGAGGCTATCATGAATGACTTTATCCAGCTAAAACCACAAGCCAACTTTTACGAGGCAGAAACCATGGTCGAAGGTTAGCCCCTTCTAAGGTCTCTGATGGTGTTCTTGTGTTTACGACGTTTATCAGTTTCTTCAATCAGAACGATCTCGATGCGCTTAAATTTTGAATTAGTTTATTTTGCATGTGTAGGTACTCTGGATGGATTCTCATTTGATTCAGAAGAGGAGGTGGATAATTTGCCTAAAGCTCTAAACAATCAAGGTGAGGGTGCCATGGAACAGTGCAAAGGGAAAATCAGACAGAAAGCTGAGAAAGTGTCGGTATGTTATTTCATCCGTTTTTTTATATTTTGATAGTCAGATTGCTCTTTGATCTCGAGTTGGGACCAAAGGTTGCTGATTGATGATTGTTCGGCTGTAGGGAGCACTGCAAAAGCAGAGCAAGACCGGCGGCGGAGGAAAGAAAGTGAAAAGGAAAGCTCAAGCTCCAAGGAAAAGCAGGACCAAGAAATGAGAGCACTTCATGTGTTAATGTATAATATCTGCGGACATGTGAGGATAATTTTAGGGGTAGCAAGTGATTCAATTCTGAGATTTAAAGGAAACGGATTAAGCTCACTGTACTCTACCCTTAATCTTGCAAGGGAAGAAGAATAATCAGCAGTTGATTAAAAGTTATAAACAAACTGCATCAGTACTTCATCAGATAACAAAACATATTGGTGGATTATCGTCTTCTTAAGACGAAAGCCGGAAACTATTACATGTTTGGGCAACTTCTGCTTGGCTTTGGGTTTCCTGTCACACAAACTGCTAATGCATTCCCTTCCTTGTTACACATTTTTATA